TTCTATCATGGGTTACAAAAAAACAAAAAATTCGATCATGGATTACAAAAAAACAAAAACAATTCGATCATGGATTACAAAAAAATCAATTAAGTATATTACAAAAAAATCTATCATGGATTACAGAAAAAAAAAAAAAAATCCTTACGGGACTCGCCGATTCACTGTTCGGACTCGTCGATTCCGTACAGTGAATCGGCGAGTCACTGTACAGAATCGTCCGGTTCTCTCTAGAACCGGACGATTTCTGATTTTTTAGCCGATACAATCCACTTTTTACGATTTCCGAGTCGAACCGGGCAAGTCCGGTTTGACTCGGCGTTTTTTAAAACACCGGTAGAAATACATGCCCCTGCGCACCAACTACTATTCGTTGAGATGCATGTATACGAAAGAGAAAAGATTTCAATTTCTAAAAAGAAAATTGTCTCGTGCGGTCGGAACCGCATGACTATATCTGCTGTCCAAAAAGTGTAAAGCATCTACCAATGATGGATGCTAGTATGTGTTCTGTCTAAAAACAATCCAACGTAATGATTCAAATGTTTTTTTACTAAAATTATTACTTTTAATATTTAAAATTTAACTATCATTTCAAATTCATGATCTCCATGGTAGAGATTATATGTCCTTGAAAATTAAATCCAAAAATCCAACTCAAAAATAGATTAATTAATCGGCCTGCACTTTTACATATGCACTTTTACATAACAGGCTTGGTCGCATCGAAGCTGGGTTTGCACATTATCTAAACTATCTATTTCCAAAGTTTTGAAGTGTTTATAGCAATGTTTGAACAATTCTGATCTAAATTGGAATCGCCTTATCTACATCAAGAATCGTCAACTCCAAATCGGTTCCTTTAAAATATCAGGAAAAACATCATGTTCCCCCTATGACATGGTTGGTTAGTTTTGATAGAGAACCGGTTAGAATCGACCTCACTTTCTTTTCTTTTCTTTTTTTTTCATTTTTTTAATATCTAGTTCAAAAATCCAAATCGCTAATTCGCTAAACTAGATTGAAAATCTAGGTGCGATCTGGATCACTAAACCATGTTTTTAAACCTTGTTTCACATATTTACTTCATCTAAATTATTTTTAGAGTTTTAAATTTCATAATTAGAAGTAAAAATGAATTTTTAGGCTATCATAAGGCTTTCAATATCAAAACCATATCTTTTAGCAAGATTTACAGTTACACTTTACTATGATTATTTAAGGTTGACACTTTATATAAACCCCACCCTTTTTTATCGTTGAATAAGTTACCATTATTAAGAAACTTGAAACAGTTGTTTTTCTGTACAATAAAATTGACTATATACCAAAACCTAGAACTTTTTATTTAAAATCATTCAATTGTTTCAATTTGAGAGAATATTCAACTTCTTCACATACCAGGGTTTAAAACCGTCAATCCGGATCAAAATCGCCCATTCCATATTAGGTTTAAAACAATCAATCTAGATCGAAAACGCTCATTCCGGATAAAATATAGGTGAGAAACCCCGTACGCGTTTGCGTCCTCCTATCTCATCTTTTATAAGCTTACACCAAATCAGTTCCTTTAAAATATCAAAAAACGTCATGTTCCCCGTATGACGTGGCTGGTCAGTTCTATCAGAGAACCAGTCAGAACCAGCATCTTTTTTTCTTTTTTTTAAAAAAAATATTGTTTATGTTTTTCACTTTTGTAATATCTGGTTTAGAAATCCAGATGCCCGATCTGCCGAACTAGATTAAAAATCTAAGGGTGGATCTGGATCATGGAACCATATTTTTAAACCTTGGTTCACATATTTGCTTCATCTATTCTATTTTTAGAGTTTTAAATTTAATAATTAGAAGTAAAAATGAATTTTTAGGCTTTTCATTTATCAAAGCTGTATCTTTTGGCAAGATTTACAGGTGCACTTTACTTTTATTTTTCAAGGTTGACACCATATACAAACCCCACCCTTTTTTATCATCAAATAAGTGACCACTATTAGGAAACTTGATACTGTTGTTTTTCTCCGCAATAAATTTGACTAAATATCATGACCTAGAATTGTTTATTTAAAATCATTCAACTGTTTCAATTTGAAAGCATATTCAACTTCTTCACATAACATAGTTTAAAACCATCAATCTAGACCAAAATCAGCCATTCTAGATTGGGTTAAAACTGTCAATTTAGATCAAAATTCCCCATTCCAGATCGAAAATAGATAAGCATTGGTTGCCAATATATCGGGAACCAGCCAATTGCACCTCTAAGTCGGCACCATTACCGGTTCCCTTGCTCTACTTCTTACTTCAAAGTGAGAAACCATGTACGCGTTTGCGTCATCTCGTCTTTATAAGCTTTAAGGCCCCATTTTCCTTCCCTATGTTGGATAAAAGCTCCGCATTGCGCCATGTAATTCATTCAAATAATAAAATTGAGCCTAACAAGAAAATTGAGTTACCACGTTCACTCAAGCAATTCAAATCCAACCACGTTAAAATAAAATTGAACCCAACATGAAGGTTAGAGCGGTGATCGGAAAATAATTGACAAAATTTAGAAAAATAATCCAAAAAAAAAATTTAACTAGCTACTTTAGTACATGAAAAGATCAAGTTAAAATGAACCAAATGAAAATTTAGAAAAAAAATTAAGAGAGCTATGTAACAAATTAGGGAATTCCACAAAAAAAAAAAAGATGGAAAAAAAAAATACTTTGATCCTTAGACCTTAGACTTATGCAACTTTATTATAATAAAAATACGAATGCAAATAAATAAATTAACTTTTTGCAAAAGGGGAAAATAAGAAATGAATAGACATGAACGCGTATTTTTAAAGTGCAAGTCATAATGGAAGATTATAAAAAAAAAAAAAAAAGTTTGAGAGATCCATTTTGCAATGAGTTGCATTTTAAACTACATCTTGACTATAAAATGGATGTAGTTGTCAACAAACACTCAGGCATGAAAGAGGTTCTATACATTTTTTGATAAAAATCTACAATGCAATACTCCCCATTTCTTTAAAAAGATACGAAACTAAATTTTCAAGATATTTTAGTGATTTTTTAAAAATTTTTAAAGGTGGGATCCAGACAAGCCAATTGATTTACTAATCCAGATCGCCGATCTCCCGATCCAAACTAATTTTCCAAACAAACGAACCAACCAATTGATTTAATAATCCAGATCGCCGATCTCCCGATCCAAACTAATTTTCCAAACAAACGAACCGAGTTACCGATCCGTTTTTTTCTTTTTCTATTTTAACATTGGATAACACCAATGTTTGTACTAATGAGGATTGTTAAATTAAGATTATCTAATTATTTCAATTTGAATATACGACTTGTGCGCATGGAGTCTTTTGATAAGAACATTCTTTATGCTAGTGAGTTGACTCGGCAATTGAGTGGTCTTTGTTTACTGGTTCAGGTAAACGGCGAGCTAGCTGTTCACTTCATACATTAACATAAGCAACTATTTGAGAAATGATATCGTCAAGACCGTATTTCAAGGACAACTCCAGATGGTTTCACGTGCCAAAACGCTTCTCAAGGTCATCTCACCCTCTGTTGATTGATGCGGAACATTGGCTAGCCCAATCCTACTAATAGGTTAACCAAGTTTAGAGAGGTTGATAAACAAGAAGTCTATCATTTATCTGCATTAGGATTCATTTAGGTAGTGTTTGATAACTTTCACTCCAGTTTGTTTCTCTAGAAAAATTTCATGTCGTAGACTATTTTGGATTTTGAGGTACAGGTGAAAATTGGTAGTTTAAAAGCTGGGAATCATGTCTAATAAACTGTGGTGCTGGTAATTTTACGTGTTTGCCAATGAAAAAGCTGTAAAATGCATGTTTAACTGTTCATTATATATTTCATTAACCTCATGTGCGAAATGCATATCTTGCATTTCTTGCTACAAACCATTTACTGCATTTCTTATGTGCTTGGAGACTTCATAGAGGTGCCAACCCCTCTAATTCGACCAACATTTACATAAATACGTAACAAAATTGGTTTTCTTACCGTCAAATTTTTACTCAATGCACAAGCAGCCTACAAGAGCAAACGTATTCAAGTTACTTAATAAATATATACTTAAAAAGTTTCAAAGCTAACCATTTCATTTGGCCATCACACCAGTATGTGACAAAAGATAAGTTGGCCTCCTTTAAAATAGTAACACGAAAGTTATCACTTGAAGAGAGCGAGAGAGAGAGATAACAAATTTAACGGCACATACATATGTGGATACACTAACAATTTTGTCTTCGATATCATTCCTACGTTTGTGCCATAATTTGCTCCTTCCATTGTTCCCCAAAATTATGGGCATACCTACTTTGAGAATGATGCTCATCAAGTTCATCACTTTTAGATTCATTTTCTTCTTCCTCTTCATCGCTTGCGCGCAACTCAAGATCTCTCCTCACTTGTCTAAGAACTTGATATTGAAATGCTCCATCTTGAATAGAGCTTTGTGTTGTTCTCATTCACATATAATTGTGCAAAATACAAGTTGCATTTACAATCTTAACCTGTGTCGTAATTCGATATTGAAATTGGGACCTCAAAATGAGAAACCTCGCTTTCCAGACTTCAAATGTGTACTCCACAACATTTCTTAATGACAAATGCCTATGATTGAATAGCTCTTCTAACTTCCTCGAAGATCTCCTTCCCTGGGTCTCACTAAGGTGGTACTGTGCACAACGATATGGGTAATGAATCCATGAGTAATAGGGTACCCCGCATCCACAAGGTCATATTTCCCTACACCAAATATTGTCAATATATTAGTGTATTTGTCATACGTAACTTGTATAATTAATAGCTCAAGTATTTTTTCACCTTGAGACACTGCTAATAGATGCTTGTCCTGCTCAATAACATCACCTAGAATTCTAGAGTCTGCTGCATAACCTTCCCACCTGCTAGTGTATATGTAAAGCAAATGTTAAAATTAACCACAACCCAGATATTATGAGATAGCTCTCCTTCCGTTTACTGTATCGCTTTTGCAGTGACTTTGGAACCCAAGCATGAATGTGGGTCCCATCTAATGGTCCGACACAATCCTAACATGATAATGCCTAGGTAAGAAATTGCAACAATACCTTCACCATTTATTAAATCTAAGATAATGTATACAATGTTCACCTTGAATTAGGATCAAGGCCTCATGTTATTCTTAACATAACTGCTTAACTTGCAAATTGTTCCAAGTCAATTCTAAGTCATGCATGTGACTTGGCAACTAGTTAGTAATTGAGTTAACTAGATCAAGTCACTGCAAATCGTTGCACTTGCCAAGTTCCATAACATATACAATTAATTTCAAGACCAAAAAATACGAGACTATATCTCAAAATGAAAAGGCAACTATACAATTTATTTTTAGTTAGGTAAGCAGCAAATCAAAATCACATAGACTTAACTACCTAGAATCAATTTATGGTTAAAACCATAGAATATTGCTAATGGAGCTACCCACATGGGGCATAAGAAAAAACCGTCTTGTTACAACCAACATTTCGACAATTTTCCACAATTTATATAACAATCACAAATATCAGAGCACGCAGAGCATGTGTATCATTTGCTTTGATAACGCAATTTTTAAACTCGAGTACTCTTTCCAACACTGCTTTAAATGTTATATCTTTATAATAACCAAGAATCTTAACGTTAACATCCGATTAGCATAGGATTAGACAAAGTGAAACTTTAAAGTCTAATTCCTTCTCAAATTTCAAGAATGCAACAGTTTTATCCATGAAAGAAGAGCACAAGCAAAAGCCCACTGATACTACTGCACACACAGGAAAGCAAAAGCAAATCATGAATCGCAACAAAGCCCAAACGGTGATTTGCTTAGGAGCTTATTTGGTTAGCTACTGCTTAGTGTTTAACTAGTAAGGGTAAACAATGCAGTTAAGGAAAGAAAAACAGACGGAGACTAAAATCCTAGAGAGAGATAGAGAGACAGAGACGAATGAATGTCTGATGCATAAAGTGGATCTAAGCGACTTGGCTCATTCTAACAGTGCTGGCAAGCTCATCAATAGGAGGATAGATGCACAGTAGCAGTGAAAAAACATGAGACAATACAAGACAAAAAATCTAGGGTTTTCATAGATTTTAGGTTAATCAAAATACAACAGAAAAAGTCCTCAATAGCAGTTAAAAATCCTCAATATCACTCACTGATTTTTGTTGGAGATGGAGCAGAGTGGGCCATTGGGTGGTAAATCGAGCGGAGGTCACAAAGAGCTCAGTGGCTGGCGTGGTTCTCATTTCCTCTGTTCGGGATTAAGGGCATCAAAGATATAGCTCAGTGGCTGGCGTGGTTCCCATTTCTTCTGTTCGGGATTAAGGGCATCAAAGATATAGCTCAGTGGCTGGTGTTTTAGGGCCTTTCTTGGTGAGAGGGTGCAATTTTCCCTGAAACTTGCCTGCCCAGGGACACCCTTGAGTTTCTCTGGGGAAATCTTCGATTCCGACTTCTCCTTTTGTCCTTTTCAGAACAGGTTCAAAAAAAAAAAAAAAAAAAAAAAAAGTCTTGTACTTTTCAACGACTTTTTCCTCTTTATGCCATTATCTAAAATTTTTTATTTTTTTTATTTTTTATTTTTTTTAATTTAACCATCATAATGCATAATGAATAGTAATATAAGTGAAATCTCAACCATCCAATCTTTATTAAGTTGTCCAAAATATATATCATTATCTGAATTGAAATGTATTTACCTAATTGATATCCTATGTGACTGTGCACGAGGAGATGAATGCACATCTCTTCCTCAATTGCATGTGGTTGATACCTTTGGGGCATATTTTACCACTCTTTGGGTGCGTTTGGGTCACACCCCAGTGTGTCTCATCTCTCTTCAACGTATACCAATTCCTTCCTTGGCCTTAAACTAGGGGCTATGGCTTCAACAACCTTATGGTCCATCTGGATCAAGAGAAACCATAGAATTTTAAGAACCATTGCGATTCTAAGGATAAAATTAAAACCATGGTTATCTTTTGGATCAAGAACCACAAGTGGTTCAAAGCCTATTCTTTTTTGGAATTCTGGTTATATTGGCTACTGTTGTATAAATCTACCACCTCTTAGGTTGTTCGTGCCTCGCTTTGGAGCCCCCAGAGCCACGCTGGATCAAATTAAACTTTGATTGTTCATTGGGAAACCCAAGGACAATCGAGGTTGAGGGCCTTTTCAGAGACCATTTTGGCTCCATCATCTCTGCTATCTCTAAATGAATAGGATTTGCTAAAACTAGTGGTTAAAAAAACGGATCGGTGCCTTGGATCAGGCATTCCAAAAACCCATCCGAATTGGTGAACCGGCGATCCGGATCGGGAATAGTCTGAATTAATCTTTCAAAAAATTTCAAAAAAATTATTAAAATTCATTATAAATGTTCTCTTTTAGGAATCCAATAAGAAATGAGGTTACTACATTATTAACTTTCTTTCTTTTCATCAATTTGTGAATATTGAGATGCTATTTCCCTATATAAACTTATATTAACCATTAAATTTACATCACATAAAAGAAAATCATAGAATTATCATAGATAAAATATATAATTATACATGGACTATAATAAAGAGTAGACTAAATCAATAAAAGAATGGTCACTAAAATCTCGTTTTGGCGAAAAACCCTAGTTCGCTAAAAAACCCCAAATTATTACAACCTAACTAACTATAATCCAAAATTATTACAACCTAACTAAGTAATTGCTATATACTGAAATTATAGTTATTAGTTTACATTTTATAATTATTTCATTATACAAATAATAACAAATTCAAAATATTTTATAATATTATCTAATTTAAAATATATTATTGACAACTGTAAGAAAAATAATAAATTACGTTTATAATGTAAAAAATAATAAATAAAATAAAATTTTTGGTTATCAATGTAAAAATTAATAAAATGCATACAGATTTTGGAAATAACACTTTAATTTTTCAAAAATTTATTTTTTTAGGTTTCTATAATAAATTTAGTGAAAGAGATTGTTGGTAAAAAGTGAGAGATTTCAAATAGAATAAAATTTTTATTTTTCAGTTTTTTATACCTTTTATATTATTTACAACAAAAATAATTATACCGCTATATACAACAAAAATTAACTGATATACAACAAAAATTAATATAATATGTAAGGCCCTCGGGGATTCAACCTTGGAACATCAAGGAAAAGAGCGGAGGTCATAACCATCACGCCTCCTTGTCGCATATGATGATATGTTGCCTATTAATAAAATATATTTAAATTCCGTCTTTATTTAATGATGTTTGGGAATTATCCCACATCGAAAGATGGGTATTCAACTTTGCTATATAAATATGTAATATGATGTGCAGCATGTACGTGGAATCACTAAGGCAACCCTACGTGTGATATGTTCCACGTGATTTTGTCGCACGTGTACATGTGATGCTACGTGTGTGATGTCTTCCGTGTAGAATCGGAGTGGTGACATCATAACCTCCTGTTTACGATGTCATCGGGCGGTTCACTGTTTAAAACCACCGGTTCTCTAAAGACACGGGCGGTTTCGTGTATTATGCAAGAACCGGCACGGAGGTGCCGATTCCCGAGTCGAACTGGGCAAGTACGGTTCAACTCGCCGACTTTTCAAACACTAGCTAATAGTATTAAGTTGATGTCAACCCTTTACTTGAGAGTTTAAGGGCATATAGACCTGAGCGGGGTAACCAAATTGCTATTGAAGGAGACTCCAAAATTATCATCTCATGGGCTTCGTGCTCTACAGCTTACCTATGGAGGTTGGCCCACATTTTTTATGAGATTTTTAACATCATCACCCATGTTTACATCTCTCATGCCCACATTTGGCGAGAAGCTAATTCTCTGGTTGATACCCTCGCAAAAGAGGGAGTAGCATCATCTTCTAGGAGGTGATCCCTCTGACTTTTTGTATAAAGTGGTTTCCTTGATCTTTGTCACAACAAAAAATGTATAGCTATTTTTGTATCTATCTCACCATCTTGGTAGTATACGGCCTCGTTAAGGGATTATTTCTTGTATACTTATACCTATCACTTAATACAAGTCAACACTTATAAAAAACAAAAAGACAAAAAATATGTTTGAAATTAGTTCTTTATCAATCTATATTTTATAAAATAAGACCAAATATAGAAAATCCTAACAAGCCTCTTAAGTATTGCTCTTAGATGTTTCAGTTTATAGATAATACTTACTTTAGCATGTCTATAATATTGTACCAAAAAATTGGGGTACTATTTCCCCTTCAGGTACCATATTCGTTTATCCATTTTGTCAGCTCTTCATGCTCATCGTATGCAATGTGCATTCCTTCATTCTACATGTATTACAGTTAATGCTAACTTGATATTGTTGGAAATTTTTAATACTTGAAATACCCATGTTATGGAAATTTATAGTGGTTACATTCAAATGTTTTGTTTTGTGCTTTTTCTAAGTATATCCATCATAAACCATGAAGGTCGACAAAGATTTACTTTCGCATAAGAAGATCCTCCCATCTGAAGGGAGTATATGTTAGTTTTTTCATCTTTATAAACTTATGAAAATACATTCTTAAGTTTACGCGTTTACTCTCGGAGCGGTAGCGATCGTCTTTGCCCTTATGAATTTAATATCCACAGTGATGTGGATGCTTGAAAGCTTATTCAATTCTCTCAAAAGATTGTGACCTCATTTTTATTGAGGCATTTATCTTGATTCATTGAATTGAATAGATTTGTTAAAGGATATTTGATTATAGATAAATATGTTAAGGATATGTGATTTTAGATAACTAGAACATTTCTTTGAGTGAGAGAGAAAGAGGGAGAGAGAGAGATTAAGTGTGTGAGAGGGAGAAACAGTAGACAATAGTGAGAATTGAGAGTGCATTTTTCACTTGCAAAAATTATGCAATACCTGCCATTGTGCGAATATATAGTATTTCCTCCTTCATTGTGGGAGAGTCATTTCCTGTAGATAAAGAGAGATCATGTTGGGAGAGTCATTTCCTATAGATAAAGAGATCTTGGTGTTCCTGGAGGAATTCTTGAGAGAAAAGAAAAAGGAGGGCGGGGGGGGGGGGTGGGGGG